AGAATTTCTAGTTGTCGTCTCTGCCAAGCAACTAGTTTTGAAGGAAATAAGCCATTAAACATAACTCCGCTAAAATGTCTCATTTTTGTGTTTTGCCCCAGCTGATTTTTCAGTTTAGTATCTATATAGCACCTTATGTATTCAGTATTGTGCAAATGTGAACTTATTAGATAACTAATTGGAAGGGGTGTTGAGATTCCTATTGCTTCCATTTTATAGAGGCAGAGGTGAAATACCTTGCCCAAAGCCACGCAGTGAGCCACCAGCAGAGCCATGATTATACTTTGAGTGCGCCTGAATCTCTCATCCTTGTTTATTCTTTCACACTGTTACTTTGAATGCAATGTATAGTTGAATTTTCTGAATCTTCTGCATTTAACCTGTTGATTCAGCTGCCATATCTTCCACCCCTCACACTTCTATTATGGTAAATTAATGTAGTTTATGTGAAATGCTGTCAGATACATAAATTATAGTAAGTCCATTTTGCCTGTTTCATGCTGTGACAAGAGGGAGAGGAAACTTTTTTTTAAAAAAAGCATACTTCAAAGGTCTTCAGATATGTTGTTGGCCATTTTAAAGAGGACAGTGATCAATTGTTCTCCATGTCCCTTGAAAGTAGTCCAAGAAGGTAATGCCCTTAATCTGTAGCAAGGGATATTTTAAGTTAGATATCAGGAAAAACTTTCTAAATATAAGGGTTGTTAAGTTCTGGAGTAGGCCTCCAAGGGAGATTGAGTTCCCTATCATTGGTGGCTTTTTAAGAACAGATTGGACAACCATCTGTCGCAGATGGTCTAGGTTTACTTGGTCCTGCATCAGCACAGGGGATTGGACTTGATGACCTCTTGTAGTCCCTTCCAGCATTTCTATGATTTGTAAAAACAGAAGTTGGTAGGGGAAACAGGCAGGAGTAGAACCAGAAGTTCCTTAGCTCATTTTTATCAAATATCAGTTCTGTAAAATTGAAATACTTGGTACAACCTAATGGTAACACTTGTGCTTTACCACTTCTCAGACTTTTCTGAGAATAGGAGCCACAGAAGTTGTTTGGGTCCCATGTTGTACATTTAAGAGGACCTGTAATGGTGAAAATGACTTTATCCTTTTTTTCCCAAAAATTAGTATTTTCTCCACATGAGAATAAGACCTGTTTATGACAGCAGGAGTGTAGTTCTCAAATAGCTTCTGAAACTTTGCAGCAAGAGTAAACTTCAGCTGAGACACAATTTGTTTTGATAGTAAAGTTTCACACTAGTTAAACTACAGATTATTCCCTCCTCCCCTCAACATTTTCTATGTCCTACATCACCATGAAATCTCAAATTATACACAGCCAAAATTTGTAGCTTTCATGGTTAATGGACATGCTCACAGATCAAGGCTAATATAGTCACTAATACCTTAGGTGAACAGTACCGTTTTTAGGCACTGATCTGGGACTTAAAATAAACTTATCCAAATACTGGCTTAACTTTATCCCTGTTCATCTCTTACCATATCTACTACACCATTTAACATCTCTCCAGTATCTCATCTTGTCTTCCTTTTCTGTTCACTTAGTAGCTTCCTAACGACTTCCCTTCTTATGAATGTGGGTGGTGGTTTCTTTTTTTTTGTTGTTGTTTTTTTTTAAATCCAGGCACGATCATGTTTGTCATTTACATTATTCAGGTTGCTTGTATATTAGATTCATCCCTGCCCGCACACTCATTGTGTTTAGATTGTAAGCCCTCCAAGGCAGGGACTCACTTCATTCGTGCAGTTTTTAACACAGTGGGGCACCCTAGGCCCTACAGTAATACAAATACGTAGTAGCATTAAGGTATAAATATTAATATGCATCTGCAATTAAACTACATAGCACCAGGGTCCCATCAGAAGAGACACAAACTGGATAAACCCCCAGAGCTACACTGCATGTGACTTCATATGTACAGATTGTCAGTCGCCTGTATATATCACTTTTATTCAAGTTCAAAACATAGTATACCCCAGGGGGGAAACGAAGACTTATATTGTCTCCAATAGTAAAAGGAGTACAATATAACATATTGAATCAGAACTACTCCCAAAGTGAGCTCAATGTTTCTAGCTCACCAAAGCCCCCGTGATGAACTGTCTTGATCCATTTTAACTCACTTTAGATAAATGATGATATTCAGGGTCATATAAAGACTCTGTAAAACCAGTTTGAATTAACCCCAAATGTTTTCAGTGTTCTAAAGCGATAGTCCATTTCCTTCAATATAGCTAGCTGTTCCTGGCCTAGGGAGCTCTGAAGGTTTTGGTAAAGCTTGTAACTTACTAAATGAATGTTAAGTACTAGCCATATCTATGGCAGTATACTAATGTAGTCCAGGAGACAGTGTAGTGACTATTAACTTCACTTGGCTTAAGGGTGCCCTGTTGGAAGACTGTTGAACACATCTGAACAGACAGAATATTATAACTGAGTATATAGCATCCACTATTTTAGTTGCATCAGCTTACATTCTAGATTGCATAGTTCTCCCATTTAAGCTGTTCAGTGCAGAATTCACCTTGAGTGTTTTAGATGTTGACATGGGGCCAGGGGATGTGAAGAGAGGACAGTGGGTTCATTGTATAACTAGAAAAGGGAATACAGAGGCAGAAGTACTTGCTGCTACTGATGTACCGTGTGCTATCTTATGGGCCCAGTCCTGCAATTTTTGTGAGTGTAATTCCATTGAAGTCAGTGGAAATCTTACTGCAGTCAGAATTTAGGATCAGAATGATGTTGTGCATGCAGCAGTTTAGAGTTAGAATTTTGCAATAAGTTGCATCTCTACAGTTGTAGTAGAGAGAGCAATAAGATCTTCAGTATGAATCTGCCAGTAAGTTACAACAGTATAGGTAATTTCCTCTTTGTGCAGAAACTGGCTAGTTCGGACAATACTTCTGAGAATATTTCCTTTGAAGTTGAAATCTTACCATATGTATTCTGTAGATATGCACCACACTGATAATACACAGCGATTGTCTGACTTGTGTACTGTTCATAGTGAAGAATTTTATTTGGACTGGAGATATTACCTATTTAAAAATGGAAATGGTGTTACATAGGTTACACAAAAGGGATCTTGGTTTTAATTTAATCTTTTCCTTACTAAATAAAGATAAAAATATTTACATGTGCACCCATTACTCCCAGCAGTCGAAATAGATGATCTATCTACCTGCCTAGTTAAGTAGCAAAATGGAAGAAAGTAATACATCTTGGAGTATAAAACAGTTCCTGTATCTGAAGGAAGAAATCTCTGGATTATCTGCAAGTAGCTAGCTGTTTGGATTTAACCGAATCTTAGGGCTTGTCTACACTGGCACTTTACAGTACTGCAACTTTCTTGCTCAGCTGTGTGAAAAAACACCTCCCTGAGCGTAGGACGTTTCAGCGCTGTAAAGCGCCCGTGTAGATAGTGCACCAGCGCTGGGAGCTACACCCCTTGTGGAGGCGTGAGGTTTCTTTTGTTTTTGTTGGCGCCACAGCAGCTCTTCAACATTGCCAGCATAGACTAGCCCTTAGAGTATGTCTACACTGGCAAGTTTCTGCACCACAAATTATACCACTTTTATTAAAACGCTGGAATTAAACCACTATTGCATGTTCACACTGTGCTCCTTGTGACGCTGAAGCGCATCCACATTAGCAGCTCTTGCAGTGGCGAAGAGAGCAGAGCATTGTGATAGCTATCCCACTGCAACTGGCCACAGGGTGCTCTGGGAAGGGTTTGCAATGCCTCATGGGGCAGGCACAACGTCACATGATGCAGGTTTCCCAATCCCATTGTTCCATGAGCATCTTACTACACTGCCAGCTGCTTTTCAATTGAAGTGGGTTGGGGGAATGTGTGAGTGTATTGGGGGGGGGGAGAGAGACACTGTTTTGGGGGACAGTGTGTCAGCATGCTGTCTTGTAAGTTCAGACCGTGGCAGGAAGCGATCAGTCCTGAGGCAGGGGGAGGGGGAAACCCCAACATCAGCCCGCGCCTCCCTCCCTGGGTTCTCTGCACAGCGTGCGCGCTCACACACACCTGCCTCTGTTCAACAGCACAAGCATTCCACATTAATGGTTTGCTTTGTGTCCCGAAGCAGATCAGTACAGCTCGCAAGGGCTGTCATAAATGATGCTTTGAAAGGGGAGAGGTGCATGTCTCCAGGGCAGCCAAGTTCAAAACAATGAGCAGAGCGGTCACTTGAGGCATTATGGGACAGCTTCGGAGGTCAATTACTGCGCAGAAAGCAATCAAGTGGCTGCACTGGCAATAGAGCGCTGGAGCCTCTGCGCAGATAGCCTTATGACTCTCGTCGAGGTGGGGTTTTGGTTTTGTGTGGTTTTTTTTTTGCAGTGCTGCAACTGAGTTTCTGCACACAGTGGCTTGACAGTGTATACACATCTGCAGTTTGAGCGCAAAAAACTGCTTTACTGCACAGAAACTTGCCAGTGTAGACACACCCTTACTGTCAACAGTATTAGGAGTGATGTATGACCAGTTATTTAGACAATCAGGCTAGTTCATGGGATTCATGTTTGGGAAGGGGGCACACAGGAGTGCAATGTTCACAACACGACCTCTCTTCTTCCCTTATTTCAGGGTAAGGCGGTTAGGTGGAGGTGAACTGACTCCAGTGTTTGTTTAGCTTAGATGCCGATGACTTGGGGGTTAGACTGGGGTTCAGCCTTTCACCTAATCTAACCGATATCTAGACTAGGTAAAACACTGGAGTTAACTATGCACTAACCTCCACTTTCCCCAGTCTAGATATAGCCAATACTTCACCAGTCATCAGATACGTGTCTATATCTGTGGTCATACAGAAGGGCTGTTGAATTGACATTAGAAATGCTTGCTAAGGTACTCCTTATGAAATTATAACCACTTGTAGAGGATTGTGGTTTTTGTTAATAAAAATTAACTGTTGGGATTTATGAAGAATTTGATCACCCTTAATTTTTTTTTTTTTTTTTTTTTTTTTAGGCCGCAGCAGGCATTCTGTGCTATGTGGGAGCCTATGTCTTCATAACATATGACGACTACGATCACTTCTTTGAAGATGTCTATACGCTTATTCCAGCAGTGGTTATAATAGCTGTGGGGACACTTCTCTTTATTATTGGACTTATTGGGTGCTGTGCCACAATCCGTGAAAGTCGCTGTGGGCTTGCCACTGTAAGTTGCTGTTTCACATGAATTTTTGAGGCTTTATTGTATGTTCTGATGTATATTTGGCCTTAGTGTTCCTTTGAATGAGTAGAGTGTTACTGATGGTGTTAAAATGGGCACTCAAGTATGTTTGGTTTTTTTAGATATTTACTCAGGTAATCTTGTTTTACAATCTCAGTATTTTTTTCTTTACCTATTTTATCCTAAAATACTTCTCTTAATTTTTTGTGTTGGAACATATTAAAATCAGCCTTTTTTAGTACTAAAACTTTATACAAAATCCTTCCAATGTCCCTCTTCAGAATAATGATCTGCTTAAAGTAAAAAGATTAATACTGTGAATGTTTTTGATACATTTGTATTCAATTATTTAAAATTTTTTTCTTGAAAACACATTCGTGCTTAAGAAAGCTGAAACTTAAAACTAAAATTATTGGATGGCACTGGTGATGGAATCTCACTACAAGTATTTTGTAGTGTAATATTAGGAATTGGGGCTGTGTTGTCCAAGCTGTACTTGTGTTTAAATTAGTACTTCAGTTTCTGTTGTCGCTGTATGCCATCTATTCACATATGTATTTGAGTAAAATAATAAAATATATGTATGGTACTAAGGTATTTAAAATTTTGTCACATAATAGATAAGTGTCCTGTGGGCTGTAATACTTTGGTCCAGTTTTGGTTGGATTTCATCTGCGGGTGCTGGGTGGCGTTGGTGGCCTGTGATATACAGGAGTTCAGACTAGATCTAGTGGATAGATTATTTGGAATGATCCACTCAGTTGACGTTCTATAAATTGCTTGTTAAGTTCGTAACTTGCCTGGCAACTTTGATAAACCCGAAAGGCAGAGTTTAGGTTCTCAAAAGGCATGTCAGCAAAGCTACGTATTATATAAATATTTTGGATTGTATTTAACAGTTTGTGATCATCCTCCTCTTGGTTTTCATCACTGAAGTTGTGGTAGTAGTTCTGGGATACATCTACAGAGCAAAGGTAATAAAAACTGTCTTCTAAAGTCCAATAAATGTTGTAGATTGTGACCAACCTGCTGCGGGGGGGGGGAGAACTTCCCATTTTTACTGCAGGTATACTTACGTTTGGGATTTTCTAAAACTGCTATTGGGTATTGTAAAGATGTTTTGATTCTCTACGTTGTATAAGATCAAAGAAAGGTGCAGGCCTAAATGATAGCAAAGATTGGAAAAAAATTAAACCTATATTGAAACAGATCTCTTCAGAGGTCTGGAAGTAAGTAGCTTAAAATAATGTTATGGGGTACTCCAAACTTGGATGAAAGATGGCTAATTACTTAAAATAATAATAAAAAACCTGATAACTCACTTGCTTTTTAATTTTATTCTGGCTTTACAACAGGGCTACAATTTTTTTGAGAGGTAGTGTGGGAATAATTTATATACAATTCAGCCTGATGTTTAGTAGGATTTTGTCACTGAAGAGTGAGGTGAAAAGCTGATACACAGTAAATAGAGTTATGCCATAATTGGCGTGTCTCTGTTTGCCAAGCATTCTATTCTGTTTTTAAAAGCATTTTGAATCGGTGTGCAGCATAGGCTGCACTGCATTTGGATATGTTGTATGTCGATGCTTACCCAACTTAATATCTCGTTTTTTGGGGTTTTTTGTTGCTCTTCAAGGTGTCTTAAAGTAAGCAGCCCAAATGGACTGGGTACTTACTGCAACACCCCACCCCCAAAGCCCCCTTTTGGGTCAGGACCCCCGCAGTCACAACACCATGAAATTTCAGATGTAAACATCTGAAAATGTGAAATTGACTAATTTTCAAATCCTGTGGCTGTAAAATTGACCAGAATGGACTGTGAATTTGGTCGGGCTCTGTAGGTTGAAATCGACACCTTGACTAGCCATTAAAAGTAAAATAGGAAGACACTGCAGTTCCTGAAACTACCTAAACAATGAGCAGCTGTGTTCTACATCAGCAGTAGCTTCAGAGTAGTTTTTAGGGGTAGTTCCAAACAAAGTACAATGCAGTACTCTAGTCTAAAGATCAAAGGTATGGATTACTGTGCTCAGGTCTGGGTTGAGCCTCAGCCAGCTCATTCTCTTCCAAATCCCAGTCTCTAAGAACTGGGAAAACAAAACCCACATCATTCAGATCAGATGAAAATGAGACACAGACCTACCTGTCTCCTGCCTGTTTATGACCCTGGAAGCCAAATATATTTCTCACTGTTGTCTCACATGACCTTAGACAGAAAGGGCAACAAAATAGAGCCTAGATATCTGGTAGAAAAGAAGTTGCCCCAAACAACCCTCTACTATTTCTGGTGGGGGGGCAGGTGGGGAGAGGAGGAGTGAAATCATTCTAGACTAGTAATGTTCTGCTAGCCAATAGCTGGAAAACACACTAACAGCCATACAGTCTTGTTATCAAAGGCTGCTGAAGGATCTGAAAGTATCAACATATACCTGATCATTGTTTGCTGCCAGGAGGAGTTAATCAGCAAAGACCAGAGCTGTGTACATCTTGTATTCAGAACAAGAGAGTGAACAGGTTTAAAAAAAGGTATCAGAATTGCCTTGTCACAGATTTCCACAGAAGGGAAGACTGGACAATAGTTGGCAAGATTGAGTATCAAGTGAGACTGAGCCCAGTGACAGCTTATTTGGGGAAGCTGGCATTGTGGACTTCCAAATGGAGGCATAACTAACCTTTGGTGCATTTGAAACTTTCCTACATCCTTCTGTTAGTGATGAGGCCTGGGTCCAATTTGCACACTCCCATTTTACCTAGAGCGATGATGTGTTTATCTTCTCCATGCATTCCTCCATGACAGCAGCCAGCCCATTTCAGGTCTCTTTAGTTTTGTCTACTAAATGAGAAGAAATTTCCTCTTGAAAGATTAATTTCCATATGGAGGTAGCTGGGATTAATCAGTCTGTCAGTCAATTGAACAGTTCCAGACTTGTCTTCTGGACAGAGTAGTGGAGGCTTTCTTCACCTCAGGCACAGGATTTTAAAAACTCGGTCAGTTGGAGTTCAAGTCTTCTGCCATCTGTACTAAACCTCTGCCCTGTGCGGTTCATCTGTATGGGCTGTTTCACACACAAATGTGCACCAAAATAACAAAGGTTGAATTGACACCAATTTAGCTATTTTGGGGGCAAATTTATGCGTGGACACTCTTATTTCAGAGTAAAATTGACTAAATGAACTCTAAGGTCAGTAACAAATTTAGCATACACCCATTTTAGCCAACTTTATTCCAAAATAGACTGGCACCAAAATAAATTGATTTCAGTGTACATCGGTTTACTTTCCTGATATAAATTATAAGCATCTAGTTGAGAACTATATATGTTTAGTTAGTTCTTGATGTCTTTAGAATAGTAGCAATTACTTTTACATTGTGTGAAGCAAGTTAACAGCTCTATAATTCAGTTAGTATTGATTACCATTCACGTTAAACTTTTTAAGAGTATCCTTGTCACATGTAATTGTTACTTAAAATACAGGTTACTTGATTCTGCACTCTAGGAAGATTTCCTTCCCCCCCCCCCCCTTCAAAAAAAAATGAGAATACTAGCTTTTTCAAAGAGAAACAAGTGTTGGTTGCTCAAGGCACCATTTCAAGTGTCAACAGCATTATTATCTGCAATGGGGCTGGTAGCTATTCCTCACCCAGTAAGTGTTGTGTACGGTGTGCTGCCACCACCTTCTCACATGAAGAGTAGATGGTCAGACAAGGAAAGTGGTGCTGTGTGGCTGACCCTAGTGGGGGGAAATTTGATTACTATTATAGTAAATCCCAAAACAGTTTAATCTTTGAGGATTTCCTCCCAAACATCCGTGCCTACTCTCCAATCAGTGTGACTGCACCAGGGCTGTGCAGGGCAGAAGGAGCTAGGAAATGGGCAGAGTTAAGAGAGATGCCAGTTGGCTATCCTGAGCCAAATCCTACCCTTAGTTACTCCTTTAACAACAAACGGTTGTAACTGATGCCAGATCTTTGCCCCTCTAAGTTTTACTGTCCTGATTCAGTGTTCTAGGACAAGATTTCTGGCGCTGAGCATGATGATTGTCACCACGCTATAACTCTTGGTCCTTTCAAGAACATGCCCAATGATCTATCCTGTGCTCCGTATCCAATTAACTTCAAATTCCTCACATTTGCCTTGGGCCCAAACCTAACTTACAGGTTGGAGGCTATTTCCTCAGTTGTTGGTATTTTTGAAAGAGTGGGGTAGCAAAATTCATGCTTCTAAAGGAAGCTCATTTGCAAACTTAAGTCTGTAGTTGGTGTAGCCTCAACCCCATAATAAATGCAATGAAAGAGGGGAAAGTGATGTCTCAGCACAGAAATATAAACTGTAAATTTCTAAAATACTGTATAGATGTCCTGAAGCAGCTTAAAGCCCCAAATTCTGTGTAAGGTAGTTTATTCATCCTAACTTTCTGTGCAGAGTATTCTTAATTGTAACTCTTAACCGTTAGCATTAAATTTGTACAAAATACAAACCAAATACTATCAGAATTCCAAAAGAGAAACCATTTCTCCAAAGTACGGTAATCTGTAAAACACAATAATTAAGACTCAACTAATCGGGTGCCTAGGCTTACTCAATTATTTACAGCTGAAAACAGGACTGTGCTGCCCAGAGTTGTACTACTTGTACCAATATTTTGAAAGTGCACTAATGTTTGCTTTATAGGTGGAGGATGAAGTTGATCACAGCATTCAGAAAGTGTATGATGCATACAGTGGGACAAACCCTGATGCTGCCACTCGCGCTATTGATTATGTACAGAGACAGGTGAGAGCCAACATAATGGAAAGTTTATTGTAATTGTAGATCTCATGAAGTCCATATTCTATTGCTCTGGGGTTTGTTAGATGCTGTCCACAACTTTGATCAAGATTATAAGCAGTAGCTTGGTCACTATATAAACAGAGTTAAACCTACTAGTACCCATGACACTTAACTGTTTAGCTGTTTCAAGAGACCTAGGCTGTCACATAACTATCCTTCTGTAACCACTTCAATGTGCTTTTTGTCTCCCTTCAATATTTCTCTGCAATAGGACATCCCAGAGTACACTGCCCCATCTGCTGCTTGCTCACTATAAAGATGCGGACACAAATGCAGTTGTGGTGGCGTAAAAGCTATTTGATTGACTTGAAGGGCCCTGATTGGCTTTATTTTATCTGTGGCAGGGGATTTTTTGGCAGAAACAATCTCACCAAGTTTAGACAAGATCCAGTGGCTTCTGGTGTTTTTTACCATTATAAATTTTTAAAAACTGGCCTACAGAGTTCTCTACATTAGAACGCCAATCTGTGCATTTGAACAAACGGTATCACTGGTGGGAGGTCTCGGGTTGTTTTTTTCCCCCTGAAATTCCCTAGTGAAGGGAAAGTTGAGACTTGTAATTCACCACTGATGAAACTCCACTGCTGGAAATCTCACAGGGGCTTTTCCTGTCTACACTGTAGCCTCAAGTCCAATTTTTCTTCAAACTCTTTAAGAAGTTTTGAACAGACTTACAAATTCTTGTCACGTAGATATTGGCGACAAAACAATACTAATTACAACAATAGTTTTTCTATATTTATTTATTTATTTTAAAAGGAGATTTGAGATTACTTTGACAGGGTATTACCATGTTAGGGCTAGTCGCAGCAGCACTTCTATGTGCCTTGTGTGGTCGCGGCACAGCTCTGGGAGAGAGCTCTCCCTGCGCTCTTAAAAAACAAACAAAAAAAACAAAAAAACACCACCTCAACGATGGGCATAGCTCCCAGCACTGGGGCACTGTTTACACTGGCGCTTTACAGCGCTGCAACTTGCTGTGCTCAGGGGGGTGTTTTTCACATCCCCGAGTGCAAAAGTTGCAGTGCTGTTAATTGCCAGTGTAGACAAGCCCTTAGAGTTAGCATCTGTGCACTACCTCTGACATGCTGTTTCTGGTGGGTTGTGTAGTCTTTTTTTTTTTTTTTTTGTGAAA